ATATATATATGTACATATATTTAATTTCTCACGATATCACGCGAGGGCGTAACTTTTCTGGGAAAATTCTTTCGACTAGTATGGGGATCGCAACAAGCCTTCACATTGCATGGGGCCTCGAGAGAGATGATGCCTCGCGATAACTTCGAGAACGAACAGTTTGGAGGAGGGAGTACGAAGGAAGGTAATCTTAGCCCAAAATTGTTTCCGTATCCTTTCCCCCTTTACTTCACCCTTTTTTACCCTCCCCCCTCTTTTCCCTATAAAGACCAAAATTACAAATATGTATCTACAAATTTGATCGAATCTTATTTTTTGTTTGGTTTCTTTCCTATTTAATTTTCAATATCGATATTTCGGACATCAAGATTCCTTTTCATTATTTTAATCTTACCAAGAATGTTTTTGTTTTTGAATTATTCCCTTTTTAAATCGTAATTATTATTATTATTAAAGGGGATCAAGTTATTAATACAAAATATATATATATTTCGTACAGTAAAATTTGTTTGAATTTTTTCAAATTTTTACCATAAAATATAATCGATGTTATTATTATTTATTTTTGAAGGGATATTTCTTTTAAATCGTAATCATTATTATTATTATTATTATTAAGCGATCAAGTAATAATAAAGAGACATATAGGAGTATAACAATAAACGTTCATTATAATATGATTTAGTGTCAATAACGCGTTTGATTCATAGTAAAATGTACAGTAGGGTTGATAGTAGTCCTCCTAGTAGTATTAGTAGTGTAATGGTAGTAGTAACAGTAGTAGTAGTAGTAGTAGTAGTAGTAGTAAGAAGGATCACTTTGGATTCTCATCTTTTTTATTGGAGGTGTCTCGCGCGTGCGCGCGCGCGCGCGTGCGTCCTTATTCCTCTTTACTCTCCTCCACCTTCACCATCACCACCTCCATCTTCTTCAGGTCCACCTCCTTCTTCTTTTTCTCCTTCTCCTTGTTCTTTTGTAAAAGAAAAGTTCTCGCGAGGCGTCTCTCTTACACGGGCGGGCAATCGAAAGGCAGACCACAATGAACGATTACATCACGCCGCCGACCGCAGGCCACTTTGGAACTTGTCGAACGAGTTCTCTTCTTCTTATTATTCTTAGTCTTAATCTTATTCTTATTCTTCGTCTATTTCTTTTTCTTTTTTTTCAATTTTGTTTATTTCCATTTTGTGTTCTATTTATTTTGGTTGTTTTTCTTCTTTCACGTTTTTCGGTTTTGACCCACCTGTGAATGATGTGAATGAGGAGGATGATGATGATGATGAGACTTTGGAAAGTACTCATGGTCAGTTTACACATCCTCTCAGGATTTTCTTTTTCTAATCGAATCTAGTTCTTATTTTGTTTTACTTTAATGTTACTTCATAGATATTAAATTATTATTACAAATATCTTTTAAATTCAATCTTTTTATAGTAAAAATATTCTAATAACAATAATGATAATGACAAATCTTTTCGCTAAGTGGTGGTCTGTCTTTCGATTTAAGATAATTAATTAATTATAATTTATTAACACCATATCGATAAACTAAAAGGACATTATTACTAATTTTTGTATATAATATATACTAATATACTATAATAATAATAATAAACATTTAATTTTTCATAATGTCCATGTTATCGAGAAGGTGTTAATCAAATATCAAGTAATTAAGATCTTTTGCGAGATCTTTAGAGATTCACTGGATCATATTCCAAAATTATTGTAAATATCTCGCGAAAGAGTTGAACAAAAGTCAAATTTGATTTTATTAACAATTTTTATTGTTTTGGCTCTTAATCGTTATCGATGGAGCAGCAGGTGGATGGTTGCTGGTAAAGCTGATCCAGAAATGCCGAAGAGAATGTACATTCATCCGGATTCACCTAGCAGCGGCGAACAATGGATGCAGAAAGTCGTGAGCTTCCACAAACTCAAGCTCACGAACAACATCAGCGACAAGCACGGCTTTGTAAGTACTGTACGTAACGCCAACAAAATAATTACTTACTTACCTACTTACTTACTTACTTACTTATTTACTTACTAGCAAAGTATTGGCTAATTTATCGATCCTGATTAATAGCCTTTTTATTTTCCTTCGTAAATTTTGCTTTCTTTTCACTCGCAAATGATAAAACCAAAATTCAAATTATGCGGGATAATACTAATGCTTAGTTATTATTAATATTATTATAATAATTATTATTATAATACTTAAATAATTTAAAAAGAATTTTTCAACAAAAATTACTGGCGCTACCTTGACCGTCAAAGTAGAAAATGAAAAAAGATCAATCTTATAATAGATCAAAAGAATCATCGATGATCCGAACGTAAAAGGACAATCAAGCGTTAAACACCGTGGTTGTTTGTAAAAAAATCAAAAGAATAAAAAAAAAATAATGCGATATACATAAGCAAAGTCAACAACAAAGTCAGCGAACGTCGCTCCTGATCAAGCTTACAAGCTCGAGTTGGAAATCTTCCCTTTTCTCGAGATCGAGATAAGACCGGAACACTAACGCGGCGCGGCGCGGTACGGTACAGTACGATACGATACGATACGATACGATACGGTACGGTACGGTAGGATGACGATTAAGGTAAGAGGAAAGAAAGGCAACGGGGCCAGATGAATCGAGCACGAATCGGAATTAATCGAAAGGATGGATCGATCGATCGATCTATCGATCGTCCATCCGTCCGTCCGTCCATCCGTGAGCGTCCGGTCGGGTCCGGTCCGGTGGCGTGCTACGGGAATGAGTAGGAAACCGGCCCTAAGGAGAAGAGGCGCCTCGAGTAACCGGAAACCGAGCAACGTTGCTCGTCCCGTTTTCTTTCCTATCTTTTTCGAAAGGGAAAGAATGAGAGAGAAGGAGAGAGAGAGAGAGAGAAAAACTACGATGAAAGTGAAGGAAAGAATGAGAGAGAATGAGAGAGAATGAAAGAGGTTACGTCAGGAACGCCAAGCGGCTACGATCGGATTTCCGCAAGGATTCCAACCGCAGAGGAGAGTAATCCTGGGATTAAGTTATCGCGACGGATTTTGCTGTCAAGTAGTTCCCTCCCTCCCCTCCCCAACCCCTCCCTCCTTTCCTTTTCTTCCCTTTATTTTCCCTTTTTCCCCCCTTTTTTCTCTTACTTTTAGAAGAACTTCCTTTTCTATCTTTCTTTCTTCTACGTTCCTTCTCCCACCACTCTACTTTTTAACAGACATTCGTTAGAAATTTTTGTTAAATACAGCTGTCCACTTTTTTTTTTACTCTTTTTCATCATTTAACCTTTTCTTTATTGTTGATCATTCTTTGTCTGACATTTTTCCTCTTTGACTCGGAGTCCAGTCAAAAGAATCCGAATAACTTCGTCCTTTAACTTCATCTTGTCTCTTTATCAACCCCTACTTTTTTTTATATAATTGCTCTTTTATCTCTTTGAGTATCATCTTCTTTTTTTTTATTAAATATTAAATCATCGCGTAAGTTCATTTTATTGAAACAAAAAATTAAAAATGAAAATACTATCGTAAATCCTTTCGTTTCATTCAGAAAAATCATCGTACAAAAGTTTCGTTGTATTCTTTTTACATCGCGATAAAACTCAGCAACAGCATCAGCAGCAACAGCAGAAGCAGCAGCAGCTCCTCTTTCTATTTGCTCTGATTAAAGATCATGTATTTGGTCTATCTCTGTTCATCTAACCAGTCTCTTTCTACTTGTGAACCTTTCTCCTTTTTGCGGTGGTTGAGTCGGCACCCTTTGAAGGATCCTGCATCGCTGGCTCGTGAAATCTAGTCCTCCTTAGCCAGGGTCCAGGCTGGATATGTCAATGGTTGGCTTGCTTGGTTGCCTGCCTGCCTGCCTGCTTGCTTGCTTGCCTGCTTACCTTGTCGTTTGCTCTTCTTCGTGGTGTGTGCGACCAGCAGGCCCGACCTTTATTAAAGGGGACCACTCTCCCTCTTTTTTCTTCCTCCTCCTCCTCCTCCTCCTCCAGTTCTTCGTCGTCTTCTTCTTCTTCTTCTTCATCTTCTTCTTCTTCTCTAGTTTCTTCGCGTGGTATAGAAAAAAGGAACACGTAGAGTGAGATAGAAAGAATTGTAGTAGAGTTATACACGCTTCACCTACATCCTGCCAAGAGCTAAAGCCCAGCTTCTTCTACGTTTACTAGCATCCACCAAAAGATCAGAGAGAAAGAGAGAGGGAAGATGGACGAAGATTGAGATTGGATCCAGTTTGTTCACGAACCCAGAAAATGCTCCTCGAAAAATCGCCGAACCCTTTTTTTTTACCAAGCTAATAGACAAAATATTCCCTACTCCCGCGCCTCTCTCTCTTTTTCTCCTTCCAGTGTTCATTGCTTTTCATATAAAATAGAAAGGGAGAGATTTAAACCCTTCTTTTCCAGATTCTTGGGAGATTTAAAGTGTTCGAGAGAAATAAGACCCATAGTATGCCCTTTAGAAATTCTCCTTATTCTTTTTTCTCTCTCTCTCTCTCTCTCTCTCTTATTTTTATTCTTATGTTTTTCTCTCTCACTCTTCCTTTCTGTATTTTTTTTTCTCCTTTTTTTCTTCCTCTTTTCTTTTCTTTTTCCTACTGCTTACAAGCCGACCGAAAGTCTTTCAAGAGCGTGCGCCAGCTACTCGTATGAATAAAGTGAGCTAATGTCTTTGCCATAGAAGCCCTTTTCAAGCTACCTTGCTCCGTTAGATGCTGAGAACGTGACGTAAATGGGCGTTTTTTTCTTGACGGCGAGAATAAACGATTTATCGAATAAAGATAGAATGAGAAAGAGAGATTGAAATTTTCTTCTAAGCTTTTTACAATCCTTGGGATTAAAATCTATTTCGAAAAAAATTAGTATAATATAAGAAATAGATTTGGTCATCCTGTTTAAGTGAACATATGATCAATTATCATAAAGGACAAGAATAATTGTCAAGTTTTTACAACTACGATTTGAAATAATATCAATTCATCTTTTTGAGATCTTTTTTGTATTTGACTTTTTTTTTTTTACTTTATTTACTGAAAGAAAAGACAAAGAAAATAATATTTCAATTAAGAAAGGAAAGTTTGCTACTACTACTACTACTACTGGCGCCAAAATGTTTGACATAGGGCTGTTAAGTTTTCATTTAAAAGAAGACCATTTCTTCAACAAGAGAAACAACTTTGTATAGGTCGAGTAGGGAAATTAGAGACAAACACAGTAGGAATCGGTCTAGAAGATTCTTCCTAATCCCGATCAGTCATCGTTTGTTGACCCGACAAGGAAAAAAGAAGTGAGCTTGCTTGCTTGCTTGCTCTCTCGGGGAAAATTGAAGGGACAGCAAATAAAAATGAGTGCATTCCGTGCAAACACAGTCGACTAGGAGGATTGAGTTTAGGGACTACGTAAATAATAAGAGAAAACTTAGGCTTATATATATATATAGGATGATGGTTAAGCGACACCAAAAGAAGGGACTACTACTACTACTACTACTACTACTACCACCAATCTGAAAAAAAGGGATCCTATTGCGCTTCCGTTTAAAAGCGTCAATCGGTTTTTATATTAGCGTGGGAGCCCCTATTGGCTGCGCATTTCTTCTTCATCTCTATCTTTATCTTATTATTAAAATTATGTTTATTATTATTATTATTATTATTATTATTATTATTATTATTATTATTATTATTATTATTTAAATAATAACTGGAAGCAAATATTTGTTAACATCGTTTTAACAATTCTTTTTTTATTTTTGTAATGATTTTGTCTTTTCTGTTTTCGTCTCGTTATTTCTTTTTTTTACCATTAACAGTTTGTACCAAATGATTGGTGTAATTCATTTATTTATAAATTTAAAAAAAAAATTTTTTTTCTATACTCAATTACAGTTATAAATTTCGGTCGGTTCGTCACTTTTTCTTTCTCATCGTTAAGATCGACGATTAATGAAGTAGTTCGAATCGAATTTCGTGCTGATCACTTCGCTGTAAGACGTCGTCGTCGTCGTCATCATCTTCGTCGTCTTCGTTGTTGTTGTCGATGTTAGTGTCGTTGTCGTTGTTGTTGTAGTCGATTGACATCGGCTCGAATACCTGAAATACTGGAAATACAGGAATTATGCGCGACCTTTCTCTCTTCTTCGACATCAAACGAGAAGAACTTGTCTTTTATCTTACTCTCTTTCTTTATTCCATTTCTTTCCTTTCCTTTCTTTTCTTTTTCTTTTTCTTTTCTTTTTCTTTCTCTTTCTCTTTTCTTTTCTTTTCTTTTCTTTTCTTTTCTTTTCTTTTCTTTCTTTAACAAGCTCGTCAAATTGATTGAAAAATCTCTCGATAGAAATTAATTGACGATTTGTAAATTTTAATTTTATCTATGTAATTTTTATACAATTGATCCCTTTTTTCCCCTTTTTCACCAGACAAATCTACAACGCCAGTAATGTAAAATAATAATAATAATAATAATTCATTTGCGATATATACATCCAATCGATTTTTACTGTATTTTTAATTTTTTAATTTTTTTTCTATACCATATTTTGGCTTCAACCTCTTCATAGGTTGTTTTATCTCTTCAGCGTGAAAAGGTAAATGAAAATTTGAAAATTTTAGAGATAGAAAAAAAATATATATTATTTATTAATTAATATTAACAATATTAATATATCTATTATTAATTTATATCTAAATAATATTATTTATACAATAGACCTTGCACGCGAAATATTAAACGAGAGTGAATGGGATACCCGTTTTACGCAACTTGTTAACACAACTTTTTAACGATTGTTATGAAAAAAAAAAAAAGATATGCTTTTGGTGAACTACATACATAAATATAAATATATATATATTTTTTCTGTATATATATGTATGTATGTATATATGACGATTGGAAGAAGGCGAATTATCAAACGCTGCTTATTACAATATTTACTACGATTTCTTATGGTAAGACCAAACAGCGTGGTGAAATCTACGATAG